GCCGTCTTGCAAGACATATTCTTATTTTGTATTTTTTTTAAAAAATATCATAATAGTATACATATATATTGCAATTAAACTTGTTGTTTGTGATACTTGAAAGACAAATGTATATCTATTTGTATCACATTGAATAATTAAGGAGAATGAGAAACTATTTAATTTCATGAAAAATTTTATCACGAGAGTGGTTGATAGTTGATGGACAAAATCATCTTTGGGGTAGTTTGAAACTATATATGTATTGCAAGCTAAATTCATGAATGTTTAAATAGTTTGGATAATTTAAATTATTTCATGATATAATGTTTATGACATGTATTTCACTTTAACCCCTACACATCATAAATTAATTATAAATTATTTAAACTTTAATTTATATATATATATATATATATATATTAATCTTTATGATTTTTTCATGCTCCTGTGAATTTCTTTGTTAATTCAAGAAATAGATGTTGGGATGTTACAATCAAAATATATATATATGCATAAGGAATATTAATTACATTTTCAATAGGGGATTTTTGAAAAAATAGGTGATGAAAAAGTTGAAATATTCCATACTCATGATTTGAAACATATTCAATATACATAAAAAAAGGTAAATTAAATTAAATGTGTTATAATGAGTAATGAGAATATATACTTATATGTATACCTATGTATGGCAGCAATTAATATATAATAGTTTCTGAAGAACTAATGGAGATTTTTTTATGAAAAAAATATTAATAATGAAAAATATGACCTATATATTTAAATAAGAGCTCCATTTTGTCAAGGGTTTGAAAATAATAGCTTAACTAAATTAAAATTCATGGTTGTTTGTGAATTGAAAAGTACTTGAATTTTCAAGTGAAATTTATATTATTTGGCTATTATATGTTGATATTTATCTTTGAAATTTGACAAAGATATAAATAAAAAGGATATGTTTGAAATAATGTTGGGTGAAGTTTTACTTATATATTTATATATTTCCTCCCAAAGCACAATAGATATCTCAATCGATATCATATCGAGATTATAAATCAATCACAAATCATGAAAATAAATTTTTTTGCTATTGGTTAAAAATATTAGAGTAAACTAAAAGTTTATTGATCCAAATAGATATATTGTTGGTATAATTTATTTGATTATTATCTAATTATATAATATATACTAATGTCCATTGAAGGAAACAGCCAACGTATATAATTAGATAATTGGTATGTACTGCATGTTTCAAATTAATTATGAGAATATCTCTAGTTTTGATTTGAAATATGAATTTTCACATTTTTGAAAATGTATCAAATTTATATTCAAACTAACATATATGGGCCCATTCAAATAGAATGTGAACTACAAGTATTTAATAAATTGAATAGATGCAACTATAAGATAGTTACATGTATGATTATTTTTAATTTGCAACCTAGAGTTTGCAAGGTTATTTGAATAAAACATTATAGTGAGTCCACAATTTTCAAAGTATGTGATTCATAAAATTTCTGTTGAAAATTCTAGTAAATTTATATCTCAAAATTTGCAAAAATGTACTTACAAAAAAAATGGTTGAATAACCTATTTTATAGAGTGATCTAACAAAACTATTTATTAAAATCTCTATAAGAAGTTAGATCAATAGTTATGAGAGCAAAATTTTTATTTTGGTGTTGGCATATTTGATCTTACGTACTATAGTACTTACATATTTTAAGCCAACAAGATTCTCCTACTAAAATTGGCTTTTCCATATTTGAATATGTAATGGTTATTCTTATTATTATCTCACCACATTGTATGGATATTTGGACAATGTTGGGTGGAAAACTCCTTCTTCTTGTTTGTTTCTAAATAAATCAAAGGAATGTTTTATAAAAGAAACAAGTGGAATTCAAAGATTTATTCTATATGATGAATTGATCATCAATTGACCAAGTTTTCTCAACTTGAGGGAAAGAAAAGACTAGCTAGAAAAGAAAAAATATACAGAATGCATTATTATTACATTATAGATCTTCTAAGATGGCAATATAAATTAGAAGTAGTTCATCAATTACATTCATAAAATATTGTAAAATATCTGCCATATGCAATTACTAACCTAAATGAGCATTATTAAATTTCATATTCCAATTGAAGATGCTCTAATGATCATAAAAGAAAATGAGACATGCTTGAAACATGAGAAGTCAATTAGTTCCAGATACAAAAATGTTGGAAAAAGAGGAGTTTATAATTAAAATGATCATACTAAAAAGGCAAACACCTTAGAAGAGAGTTAGAACATAACTAATTGTGAAAACCCAAGAGGAGGTTTGGGTACCTGAAAACAATAAAGAGATGTCGAGAAGTTATGTCACAGTTGAAAAAATGAAATCAAAAACATGAAGTTGTCGATAATAATTTTGATGATGATATCATGTGATCAAATAAGGATCTTATATACATATATGTTATGGAAAGTAAATGGAAAATGATTGGCCAAAGGAAAAGAAAAGGAAAAAGATACGATTTGCATATAATCACATTATATGAAAATTATGGATCTGTAACCCAAACACTTGAAATGTAAAATTATTATGAGATATATGAACATTTATATAAAAGTAAGGATTTTTAGAGTGATGGTATAATAATGATCATGACCAAGTATGTTATCTTGTAATGGATTTTTGTACATATAATTGGTCTTGCAGTATGTGAAATTTAAATATGATGCGCTTATGAATTTTTTGAAGGATAAAAAATGCCAGAAGTATGATTAAGATAATTATTTATTATGTTATGTGGATCAAAATAGTACGAATAATAATTAATTTAAGGGATAATACATAAATAGAACCCTGATCTCTTACTTGAAAATTATTTTGAACCCTGAACTTTTAAAATATGCATAATAAACTCTAAACTTTAAATTCATATTAAAATAAACTTTGACCATTAACTTTTTAATACCGTTACTATTCATACGGGTACTGTAATAGTCAAGATTAAATTCGCAGGAAAATAAACCTTGTACAATACTTGTGCGGACAATAATGGTGTTAAAAAGTTAATGGTAGTGGTTTATTTTGTTATGAATTTAAAATTTTAAAATTTATTATACATATTTTAAGAGTTCAGGATTCAGGGCGATTTTTGAGTAATAATTCAAAGTCTTATTTGTTTATTAACCCTTAATTTAATGGATATGCATTGAAAAAATGTTTAACTTTACATTTTACTCAACTTATTGTAAATCAAATTATTGAATATCCCAATGATTTCAAAATTATTATATTTTCATGACAATTTTTCTGCAAAATATATTAAATTTAACGGCTTATGAGTACCATATATTTTTTCTATAATAATATTTACATATTTTTTTAATGTTGTATTTACTATAATTTTGTAAGCAAAATTAAGTTCCCTGATGTATACGAATGGGTATTGAATTGGAGGTTTTGATATAATTCTATAAAACCATTATATGAAATCATTTTTGTCTAAAGCAAATTGAACTTGTAGATACAAAATATATCATGATAATTTTCAAAATAACTTTTCTTTTGTTATCTTCACAATGTATAAGATGAAAAAAATATATATTAATAATTCAGTATATCTAAAAAATATATTAAAAGAATATGATGAGAATGTATCATGCATGATTTGTCTAAAAATAAGATTTACTTGAAAAGTATTTGCGACGATCATATATAAGAAATTAATACTATTTTCTATTGAGATATAATGGCGAGAAGTAATGTTATTTATTAGGGAGAGTTAAATTGATATCCTCATCATGAAAGTAAAGTTTATGTTACACTCTTTTTTTCTTAATCAAAGTTTTCTCTTACTAAGTTTTCTTAATAAGGTTTTTAATGAAATAGCTTCAATATGTAGTATGCACTCTTTTTTCCCTTTACTAGATTTTTGTTTCCTTGAATTTTTTTTTGGTAAGATTTTAATAAGACATAATATTTATTTACGAATATTTAAGGGGGAGTGCTTAAAAAATTAGACTACTAGCCAAAAATAAGTCAAAAAATTGCCTTAAAATTGCCAACGCCCCTCTGAAAAATAAAAAAAATGAAAAATTGGCCGTGCTCTTGTTCCTTGTTCTTCATATTCTTCTCTAAATTCATATCATCTCATCAAAATTCCTCTTCTTCAAAGGTCGTTCATTCAATTCTTAGGGAGAAGAAAGATCTAAAAGGATTGCAGGGAAAAACTGGAGTAATATCCTTATTAACCGAAAGCAATTTGTCTCCACTAGCATCATTAGAAGACGAACAAAAAAAGGTTCATATTCCCAACAAGATTTGATAGAAAATGTTCATGCGGAGAGGGATTCGTATTGGACCCAAAAAAAAAAAAAAAAACCCATGGAGAAGGAGATTGCCATAAAGCCTCATGCAAGTATTTGAATAGCACCGGAGATGGAGGAGGCCGAGAAATGTATTGGCGGATCAAACATGGGAGATGGTGAAGGATGGCTCAACGGCGTTGTACTCCCTTTATACGGCGAAGGACAACAAAATAAGGGCAATGTAAGCCGCTAATGGAATTAATGGCTGATTTTGGATCAAACATTGTGGACAAGTCAACATATGTGCTGAGCGTATTGGTATCGGTGCCGGAGGTGAGAGTGACATTGGTGAAGGAAGGAGGAATTTCGGTGCTGGTTGAAATCCTAGCGGTGGGGCACAAAGACAAAGGCAACTAAATAATAGCAGGTATTTTTATCATTTCATTAAATTTTTTTATAACAATTAGGTTTTTTTAAAACTTAAGAGATATTATCATATTTTATAAGATTAAATTATTATTTTTTATTTTAAAAAAATTTATTTATCATTCTTCCTATATAATAATTTTATATTTATATTTATAATATTATATTTATATAAAATATTTTGCTTTTTAATTATCACATTATCGATTTAATTAATAATCCAACCAGTTATACCATAAAAATCATGAGCGGGTTAATTTGTCCGGTTCGACTTCCGTCCAGCTTTTAAAACATTGCGCTGTTGAGCTGGAGAAGTTGCTAGAGAGTTAGAGAGCCCTTCGAGCGTTGGAGCTGCGACCATGTCTGCAAATTCAATATCGTCTTGTTCCTTTCGATTATTCACTTGTTCCATGATCCCACACACTCGTCTTTGTCAAACCCTCTTCTTGCAATCTTCCTCTTACAAGCTTTCCTTCTTCAAACCCATCACCCTCGAGAGAATCCCTACGAAGCCGTTGGCCACCCCGCCGTCAACAGCTTCGACCTCTGCTTCTCTGCAACCCATTGAGGAGCTTCCTCCCAAGCTTCAGGAAATCGTCAAGCTTTTCCAGTCTGTGCAGGAACCTAGGGCCAAGTATCAGCAGCTCTTGTTCTATGGAAAAAATCTCAAACCCCTCGAAGCGCAGTTCAAGACCAGGGAGAACAAGGTCGAAGGATGTGTCTCCCAGGTTTGGGTGAGAGCCTTCCTGAACCAAGACAAGAATGTCGTCTACGAAGCCGATTCGGATTCCGATCTTACTAAGGGGCTTGCCGCTTTGCTCGTTCAAGGGCTTTCTGGTCGACCAGTTGCCGAGGTCGTTAGGATTTCTCCAGATTTTGTCGTGCATCTGGGGCTACAGCAGAGTTTGACTCCTTCCAGGAATAATGGGTTTTTGAATATGTTGAAATTGATGCAGAAAAAGGCGCTTACATTGTATATAGAAGCTGAAAAGGGTGGCGAAATGAACCCAAATTCAAATTCTCAGTTGGAAAGTGAAAGTTCTGTTGAGAATTCAGGGAAAGGAGAAAATCCTATCGGTTCTGTGCGCTCAAACGGTGGATGGAGTTCTGAAGTTGATGGTAATAAGTCAGAGTCACGCAAGAATTCCCCAGATGTTACTGAATCGAATGCTGGTATTCTGGGAAGCAGGGGAAGGAGGATCAAGGAAAAGTTGGAGAAGCAACTTAGTCCTGTTGAATTACAAGTTGAAGATGTCTCTTACCAGCATGCAGGGCATGCTGGTGCTAGGGGAAGTGATGGGGAAACCCACTTCAATCTTAGAGTTACATCTAAAGAATTTGAGGGAAAGAGTTTAATTAAGAGGCATAGGCTTATTTATAACCTATTGGAAGAGGAATTGCAGTCTGGGCTTCATGCTTTGTCAATTGAGGCAAAGACACCATCTGAAGTCAATATAGGATGAAAATTATTTGTGTAGGAAAAGGTGGTCAAATTTTTTCCGTTCTTCTACTACTCTGGGCAATGTTCTCATTTTGTTTATTGTACACAAAAAGAAAGGTAGTTATATTTGTTAAAATGCTTACTGAGGCTTCAACAGTCTGCTTTTATTACAATGATTTGTAGAAGTTTGCTTTCTAATAAATTCTCAAGATGCATGAGGGTGAGTTGCAAAAATCCATGCTATATGAATCTATAATTCTTTCAATTTACGGGCTCCGATCAAAGTTCTATAGATGCAGTCATCTAAAAGCACGAAACTACTGTCTGGCTTCTGTACAAAATTAGTGAGAATGCTCTATCGTGTTAGTCAAGTAAGGATTTGGATAATGAATATGTTCTAATGGTGGTTCGAACTGATTAAATCACATTATCATCCATGCCTAAGAATCTGGTGCATGCCTTTGGGGTGGAAGAGAATGTTTCATCTATTTTAGTGGTAGTGGGTAGAGGAGTTGTCTTGGGTAACTTCTCTCTTTCCCCTCTCAAAAAAAGAAAACTTGTGTCTTAATTGTACCTTAATTATTCATCATCGTGTCAAAAAAGCAGCAGCTGAAGAAAAAGGGAAAAAAAGCTTCTCTACCTAAAAAGTTTTAGCTTTAGTAGATACAATTCTTCTGTGTATACTTGGAAATTGACCTATCTAAGAATCATCATAACTGGTGTTCTTGGGATTTCTTAGTGACAGCTGCTGGTGGTTAGGTTTATCACTGCTTAATTGTTAAAAATGTTGCTGAGCAATGTTGATTTTGGACTGGTCAGAATTGACCTCCAATTTCAGTTGTCGCTGACTAATGCTTTCTGGCTAGCCATTCTGATCAAAAGTTTTAGGATAAGCATTATGCTTGTTATGGTTAGGATTTGTAGTTCCATATTTTGATTAACTATCTTTACGGTCTATAGCCTTTTTAGTGTTTAACTTTTTTAGTTGTGGCAAATATCATTCCCCTTATCTGCACCCTAAGGCCACTAAATGCAAACCTTTCTTGTTTGAAGATTATTTTCTCTTCTTAGGCCTTTGCTCTATGCAGGAAACTCGTGTGAAGGTTTTGGTCGTGCCTGATTAGTTAGAGGCGTAGACCATTTTTTTGTTGAAAGAATTCAGCTATTGAAGGCTGAAATTCAATGCATTTGTTTGGGCTGGCTAGTCATTATTGTCAACGCTAAGATCAGTTGTGAAATTAGAGGCCAACAAGAAGCTGCAGCTCTCATCATAAATGTGTGTTGTGCTTGAGTTTCTTAGTCATTAATATTGTAATGGCTCAGATGCTTGGAGTGTAAGGTATATATCATAGACTAAATCTTTGTGAATTTCGGGTCAACAATTGGTATTGCCTATCGATTTGGGAGGAGCTGTTGATGTCATGGTCTGGAGGATTCCAGAAGTAGAAAATCGTAACCGTACGGCTTCATAAGATGTACGTATATGGGTTTTGCATATGTACGTATATGTTGCCTGTGAACGTAGTGTGCAATGATTATGCCGTTTTATTAGACAAAAATAGGTTTACCCATGCATCTATGTATGGCTCTATGGATTTATCTTCAAGAAAAAAATTGTTAGAGAAGAATTTGTTCTGCCTGCATCATGTTAGAGAAGGATCAGAATAATAAGGGTGAGAATGAAAAAATAATATGAAAATATTATGGAGGAAAAGACATATAGAGCAGTATTTAACTTCTAGAACAGATATAAAATTTTCAATTCAAATGTGATTGAGTGTTTGAGAAAAGATAAGAAGATATCTTTCACGTCTGATGTGTAAAAACGTGTAAAAAAAACTACACAAAATTCAATAAAATATGTGAAAACACATTGAAAGGAAATAATTATATGAAACTAGAAAGGAGCTGCTACTTAAATGTTACTGTAGATCAGTGGGATATAAAAAAGAAAATGTACTGCGCTTTTACCAAACTGAGAATTCGGAAAGATAATTGAAGAGGATAGATGCTGAAAGAAATCCGAGGGAGGGGAGACCAAATAGAACGAGGAAAAAAACATGAAGCAAGCACATCATGGTCCTTTGAACAAGAAATTATGATGTCAGAAGAGTGGTATATTTCACCTTATATAGGTGAAGTCTCACGTGCCACAATGGCACCTTTACTCTTCTAATGATAGGGGGGATGCAGGTTTGAACTTTAAAATGAGTGTGGAAGCTATCCCCAAAAAAAAAAGGGGCGAAAGTGCACGTATTTCCTTTCTTTGAAAAGGTGTATAAATATGAATGAGTACATGACCCTCCCAAGAAAGGTGAAGTCTAGAGTTCCTTGCAGTAGATGGCAAGCTGCAAATGTTATCTATTTCTAATCATACACACCCTGACGCCCACACGCAAGATTAACCTTCACTTTCAAACTCCAAGTAAAGCCCAGAAACTAAATTATTTATACTCCATATTCAAATATACCCTACTTTAAAGTCAATGCATAGCAGAAAAACACTATCCAAGAAAGCAAACTCGCATCATGAAGGGATTAAAAAAGCAGAATATGACAAAAAGTATAACCTGTAATCAACAAGTAAAAACAATAACTTCTGGCGGCGAATGTTTACAATAAAAAGCAGTTTAGTAATTACATGATCACGAAAATCTTCAACGTAAGTTGATACTTACAAGAGAGGTTAGCTTCTACAGAGGGTCAAAATTCTAGGTTAATTTGTCAGGAGGGATTAGAGGATCTTTGATCATTGCTGATGTAAGAACTGGAAGAAACTGCATAGGTATTTCGTGGTCAACCAAAATTATAATTCTACTCTCATAAAGAAAAATTGATATATAGCTTCCGCACCAGCACCAAAAAATCGCTAAAGCAATCCAAGATATGAAACAATAGTTCAGCCAAAAGGGTGCTTCGTCATTACTATCGACTCTTTAAAAGAACAAAGGCACAAGGTCTCAAATTTACAGTGGAGAGAGACTTCTTTATCAGGGTCCATTTGAACCAGTACACCATCTCTGAAAACAAAATTTAAATCAAGCTTCAATTCATTAGATGCCGTATCTTTGGTTCCAGCTGTATGCTGGCCTGTGGAGTGAGAGACGCATTCAGCTGGCATAAAAACCCTGTCTAGATTCCTGGGGTTACACATTCTCGAGTTTGAACAGTCAAGAGGCACTTCAGACTTTGCATATATATCGTTGAAATCTTTAGCAGAATAAATTTTTCTAACCGCTGAAATAAGATCCACAGATAATGATGAAAGAACATCATGGACATCTTCCACAGCCCAATTGCTTCCATTCCAGCAACGCTCATGAACAAGGATTTTGCGTGTCAAATGATAAAGACTGTTGAGGCATCCAGGGCAACATCGGTACAAACAGATGATCCCAGATTCATCGGGATCAATGCGTTTACTTGGAGAGTCACTAATTTCTACAGCATTGGCATCTACACCGGAGTCAACACCACTTAATTTAATACCAGTCTCTGCTGACGACAAGCTGGGAACAGAAATAAAGGCTATCCTGGAGTCTTCAATCTCAACTCCCTCTGGTTGGCGGGCATTGAGAAGTTCGTTATCAGAAAAGGCTACAGAATGGGTAGATGTGGATCCATTTAAGCCTTTTGACAATTTGAACTCTTCCTTTCCAGAAACAGAAACAGTCGCAAGTGAAGATCCATTTGAGCCTTTTGAGGGCCCAATTTCTCCATTTATCATTTCATGATTTCCTGTTGTTCCTGATTCAAATGCTTTAGCTAGTGTGCCGTTCTCAACAATTGTAACTGGATCAGCGGGCTGGCTCAAGGCAGCAGAGTTGTTAATATGATCATCTGGAAAGGAACTACTTTGTGGAGATCCTTCTGAAACTTGGCTACTGTGAACAACATTATCCACATTATCATTTCTGTCACTCAAGGCAAGAGATCCAGGTGTCTTGGCAGCAATTGCATTGGGACTTCTCTCCAGCTTCTCTGGCTCATGACCTTCCATGGGGCCAACCAACTGGCAACCTTCATCCTCCATTTGCTGGTTTTCATGTCCGTTTAATGACCCAACACTAGTCGATGTTAGTTTTGCTGCCAGGTCTGGGGAGTCCTGCTCAAGACTGAAATGGTAGGGATTATTGTTAAAAAAGCCAAGATCGTGCCTATTACAAAAAATATAGTAATTAAAAAATGCATATTAATAGGAGAAAGAAAATAATACCTCAACAATGCATAAGCCCAGTTATTAACCATATCTTCCAAATAAGCCACTTGCGATAGAATACGAAGAAATTGATATCTATCTTTACCAGCTTGAACTTTTGTGTTGATTTTCCCAACTAATATCTCAAGGACCTTGCGTACCTCGCTAGAAACTTCCCTGACAGATGTATAAGCACCCCTGTATGCTGATAAACCAACAGCCATCAGGCCTCTGACAATACCAGATTTTTCTTTGTTTTTCATATTGCTAGAGCTGCAAGAATTAGCCACCTTGTCTTTTAGGGTACTAGGACGAATTATGCAGGAATTGAAAGGCCAACCCTTCCAAGGTCCACTTACATCCGCAGAAGGACCTTCTTTGATTTTTGATGTGACCCAACAAAGTTCTGCAAAATGAGGGAAACGAATAATTTGATAACCAAAGGTTGATATTGCCAACAGCAGGGTTGACTTTTGCTTCAGTGGCCTGCTGTTAGGTGGTAGTGGAACTTTAGTCGAGGGTTCAGGAAGTTGGACTTTAACATTATCACCATTGACTGATCCGTTATCTTTTCCCAGATATGCCTTGTCTTTACAACCTCGAACTGAATCATAGGTTATGTGCACTTTTCGGGCTCCAATATGCATATGAGATTTTTTGTGGACCAATTGAACCAGCTGCCCAATTACATTTCTCATTAGCTCCACTGCGGATAGACTGATCATAACATCATGATTAAAATTACCCTCAATCTGCACAGAAAAACGAGGCACTGTCTGCACCATTGAAGCAGACTGGCTACAGCTGGATTGACAACTCCTAAAGAACTCCCTTACTTTACATGGCAGTTCTGCGCAAGGAACATCTGAAGTAGCCTGTCGGTAAATGAAGCTAAGATATGAGGGTTCTAAAGTTACATGCGAGACACAATAACCCAGTTGAGGAATCCAAGTAAATGTGAACGAAAAAAATTTTGATCATAGCAACATTTCTCCTGGTAATGTCATTGTGCAAATAACTGTATCTTAAATATTAATTAATAGCTACTACTACAAGCATTAGTTTATAAGATTTAGTCACATAATTATTATTCTTAATGGGGAAATAATCAAGCCCAAAAGTGTTCACACATAAATCAACAATTAGTTTGAAAATATGGAGCAGAAATCAAGGGAACAATTGTACGAGGGAAATTATTCATTACAGGCAACATAATAATCCATACCAGAATAATCAAGGATGTGGATACACCAATGGACTCCACCTGCTCAATAAATGACATCCAGGCATGTGAAGCCCTTAAGATGACTTGACCTTTGACCATATCTATTGATTTCCTTTTCTTTGAATCAAATTCGTTTTTCTTTTCAACAACCTGACTCGGTGTTAAACAAGACTCTTCCATCTCAGAAACTTGATCATGTGTAGAGCAGTAATCAGAACTTCCAGCACCCTGAAAATGAGTCTCCACGGCCCACAGATCAATTCTTGGCATGAAGACAACACATGATTGCACACTAGCACATTTCACTGCCAGGTGAAAGGAAAATTTCAGAATCAGAGCTAAAGTATGCTTCATGTGGATTATGATGGAGCTCATTATTAATATTTTTATAAAGCCATACAATAAAGCAAAAGCAGAAGAAACAGAAAAAAGAAGTGGCTAAAGAATCATCCAAACAATAGGTTCGGGAAAAAAAAAATAGCGGCCAGAGGACAATGAGAGGTGACTGAAGGGCAGTCAGAGATCGTGACCAGAGGACAGCTGGAGATTTATCAGAGGAGGGCAGACCATATGTGGGAAAATCTCTAACCCTGAAAACTCTCAGGGCTTACTCTTGTCTACCCCTCACATGGTAACACCATATCAAGAATACAATAGTGAGAATGCTTTGGAAAGCTTCTCTAAGTCTAACATTGAAGGATGCTTGTGTTTCATATATTTACGGTAGAGAAAAGGTTATGAAGAAAAATGAATTTCGAACTTCTACGATCTAACATAACAAAGAAGAAAAACAAGCTAAAGTTATATTTTAACAATGTTAAATCATAAAAAGAAGCATTTTTCCTCGCTTTGATTTTTTGAAACACTATCCCTAAAAGAAACCAGCTTGAAATCCCTACTAAATATATAACCATATGTTGTATTCAGTGATTGTCCAAAGCTCCTTTCTGGCAGCCAAATATATATTAGAACTGAAAATAATTTTATCAGTGCTTCCCTTACAGGGATTAAGAAAGCTTTACAACTTTTTAATCCCTCGGCTTTCTAGACCTTTGAATAGTGTCATGACATAAAAGTTATGTGATGCTGTAAACAATGAAGCGCAATGTGATCTTGTTGAGGAATGATATATGGTCCAATAGTAGCAGAAATACATGACGAGCAGCAAATTATCATTTAATGATCAAATATTAAGTACTTTGCATCATAGGTATGTGATTGTTGGTAAAGGAGAACACGGGAATTTTGGGGGAGATAAATATCAGCAAATTCTAAATAATGGCAAGATTAAATTACTACATCACATACGTCTCCAAGTTTTAGCAAAAGTATAGGGCTTCTCTTCTTGTTTCAAAAATTTATAGACCTTATATTTTAACATAAAATAAACCCCATTCTTGTCCCTAAAATGAGAGCGACAGACTTCCCACATTTTAACTTTAAGCACAACACATGCACCCAATTTTCTTAACCACACATAGTTCACTGTCATGGAGTTTGTAAGCATATCTGAAGATTACAAAATAGTACTCTCAATCAGTTGCAAAATTCCTTTTCAGGCATCCATCACAAAAATTAAAATGCCAAAAAGCAAAGTTATAAGGAAGAGACATACTTAATATTTGTGAAATCCCTTGTACCACATCTCCATGTCCTTCTTGTGAAATGGTTGCCATATCAATCTTCTGAATTTCAACATTACCAACAAAGCAGTAAATAAGGCAGGAAGCAAGATGCCTCTGACCAGATTTGGGATTTCCAGCAATCAATATCCGAAATCCTGATTTCTTCAACAACATAAATGACTTATTTGACAATAAACCACTACATGTGCTGACATGATGCTTTATAGAAGGTTCAAGTTTCACCTCACAATCAGTATCATCTAAAGGATCGCAAGAACAAGCTTGGCCATCATTTGCAGATAAAATGCCAGCACAGATGAGTTTCCTCCCTATATCAGCAGCAAAATCTGCATCTTGAAGAAAATCATCAACATGCAACCACCAGTGATCAACAGACATTTTCTTTTTGTCCAGAGCAGAAATCATAGTGCTTTTAATCCTTGTTACAGCTTTAAACATAGGAGGTGGCAACCATAGGCGCCCATCAAGATACAGAGACACAAGCAGAGTGCATAATGGTTGCAACAAACAAGGTATAAGGTGGGTGGGAAGAGGGGCACATGCTATGTCATTTGCAGCATTCCCAGCTTCTCTCCGGGAGCATGGCGGTGGTGCACATGATAAAGCCTCCAACCAGTCCCTTTCCTCCACTGCAAAGGATGGAAGAGGAAGGCGCTTACCACCATAATCTTCCTCTGAAGCTGCAGACAGCACTTCTTGCAAAGGGAAGTTTCTCTTCAAAGCATTGATGGCAGCTTGGGTACAGAGAGACTGAAGATCTGCACCAGCAAATCCAGGAGTTTTTCTTGCAATCCAATCAAGTAAGGATCCAGTGATTGGTTTTGGCCACCTGTGTGTGTGAAGCGAGAGAATGGAAGCTCTGTCCTCAATTGATGGCAATGGAAAATAGATTTCCCGATCAAATCTTCCAGGACGCCTAAGTGCTGGGTCAACAGCATCAGGACGATTTGTTGCACCTATGACTACAACTGAACCCCTAGATTTCAAACCATCCAAAAGAGCAAGCAGTGTTGACACAACAGAACTATGTGTCTGATCTTGCTGCCTAGTACGGCTTGGTGCCAATCCATCTATCTCATCAAAGAATATTATAGAAGGTTGACATTTTTCAGCAACCTGGAATAGTAGTCTCAGTTGGCGTTCAGCATCACCCACATATTTCCCCAAGCAATCTGCACCTTTACGAGCAAAATATGCAATCCGTTTATCACCGCGAGCACATGCACCTATCAATGCTCTAACTACTAAAGTTTTGCCTGTTCCAGGATATCCATGCAAAAGAACACCTCTTGGAGGAGTAAGACCTAAATTATCAAAGAACTCAGGATAGAGCAGTGGTAAAATAACAACTTCTTTCATGCAACTGATGACATCCTTAAGCCCAGCAACAGATTCCCAACCCTGAAATGATTTTTCACCATCAGAGTCAGGACCGCCAATATATATAGGGGCTATTCTCAATAAATCACGATGAAGCCTCTTGTTCTCACGTTTCAAAAATTCTTCATCTTCACCACAGTTCTCCAACCATTTTTCTTCTGCCTCAATATCCTTTCTCCAAGCATCATTTGAAAGCTTTCTAATCTCCAGCTTCATCTTTCTAGCTTTCAATTTCTTTATCCGGGCTAAATATTTATTACCCTGAGGTTGGAAGAGATGTCTATGATCTGTACAGGCTATAAGAAATTTGCGATGATCAAAGATACAACCATTTGCTCTTGCACAAGGCTGCAAAAAGACAGGCCATCTGTTAGTGCTGAGCCAATTGGTATAAAAAGAAATACGATTTTAAGCACAATCAAGAAAATTCAGTATATTTGTGCATGTCATCCTTAGACAGAGAACGTGTGACCAACCAAGTGATACGTCTTTGGACATCGATCAACCCGACAACCAATGGTAGCCCCTCGTCTCCCACAACGTGTGCACTTCAATGCCCTTCCTCTGCAAAGAGCAGCCCTCACATTTTTTAGGCATCCCAAGCCAGCAAAATATACCTGCAAAAGTATGTCATAGTGAACAAAAAATTAATTACAATATAAAACTTAAACATAAAAAGAGAACAAAAATTTGTATTCATGAGTTTGTTTATAACTATAGTGATTAAGACAGCACTAAGAATATCAATTTTTTTCAGAAACCCTTCTCATTGTTTGCATACTCTTTATATTGAAAGGGAAGCTTCCCCTTGATAATCCCCATTAGAAATAAGATTCTAGTCAAGCATTGTCATTTGAACAAAATTACTATGATAGATGTTAATGTGATATGTTGTAAACTCATAGACAAGAAGACCAATCCTACTATGAGCATTATGTAGCGTCAGAATAGCATTAATTTTTGTAATGAAAAGTTTGAATAGTAATATAGTTACATTATATAAGTCCCACAATGAAAGCATTTCAAGCAATACAACCTCCACTCTATTACAAATACATAACAAAGCCTCCACTTATGAAGGCTTTCCAAAGAATTCTCTATCTTCCTTCTATTCTTGACCATTTAAATTAGGAAAACACTGCCTGGAAGCCACATCCATTTGGAAAGGACTTTAATGATAACTTTTTTCTGATTAGCTTCAGACGCTTAGGAAGCTTTATGACTCTATGCTATACATGTATAAATATTGCCCTTTGGGGTATTCGGTTCAGGTGGAACATTCAAATTGATTTTTGTCCGTTTACCTAGAAATACCTTCATGGATTCTCTTCTAGAGTTCAACTAACGAGTTTCCCAAGGTAGTCTTTACATTGACATGCACTATGCAGGAGAACTTTATTGGAAGGATAGTATGTAGGGTGCGGATGACAGGATTGCCTGCTCAAACAAACAAGACGCAGATGAAAGCAGTGGTATAGAATAGCCCTTCAATCCCTCAGCTGGTTTAACAAAGGTATTCCCTGATAAAAATCAAGTTCTAAAGACCACATAGGTGCCATAAAAACTATCCTGTTCCATAGTAGGTCTAGGGCTACAAATTTACTCTCAGAAATCTATTCTAGTCCTGATAAATTCTATCTCTGTAGCTTTGTCAGGTTTTAGTGCCTTAGTCTGCTAAGTCTAAAACAGTTGGAGCAGTCAGAACCAAGGTCCACTCATCTTGCAGGCTGACTCGCAGATTGCATTATATTAAACGTAATAAGCATTCCTATATCTAATGAATTATATTATTATTCACCATTACAAACTCTGAAAAATAAGGTAGGAGAGAGTGCATCATACACTTCAAAACTCACAGTGCAAGCATTTTTTTTTTTTTCAAAACAGAAGGAAAATCATATATTAGATATTAAAATTAAAGCATCATTGTTCTTAAAAACTAATCTTATGATGTTAATCCTAAACCAAAATCTGAATTGTTCATGTTTGTCTTGTCTTCCTGCTTAGATTACATTTTATCAACTTCTAACAAATCAACATGTTTACCAGCCTCCTCACTTGTGGTTTAAACTTTGAATAACTAAAAGGTCCCGAAACCCTCTACATATATGGGCCCATTTTGATAAGAAATTTCCTTGCTTCAAAATATCACTTACAAATTGAAGGATTAAATAACATAGGAGCTTTTATCACAGAAAATGCAAAAACCATGGTCTTAGACAATGGTGGAGAGAGGGAAAAGCTATGCTTAAGAAAGTTCTTCAATAACATCTGTTTAAGAGTTAAAAACAAGTCAACTTTTTGCTTTCTTTAAGCATGCATCTCTTGAAGTCCACTATTACAGCATCATCTGCTATATAGTTCACAGGTAGTAATTTAGCATCAGTCCTTTTAAGCTGTAATAGTTAATACTAAATCCATGTGAAGCCCACAAATGCAGCGTTTCATGATGCAAACAACGAAGATTATGAACAGACTAGATTTGAAACAGACCTCTGGACTCCATACAGCACAGTGCTGATGAACCCATATTCCAGCAATACCATAGCGATCATTAATAGGACCTAAGAGACGCCCAAGCCAGCCAGGTTCATCACCAAAACCATCCCAAGGATCATAATTAGGCTCCTCCGATGCTGAAGACCCACTATATGCCTCATTCTCACTCTCACCATTATCCTGAACTAACCTTTTTGGAGGTTTACCATCAGTCCCTCCACCACACAAACCACACCTTCTGCCTTCTTTAATGCGTGGTTGATCAGTTATATCATTTGAAGCTTGTTTGGGCGTGTCTATTTTTACAATATTTTCATCTTGCAAAGCCTTTTCGTCAACTGCAGAGTTCTTATTGATAGATCCTTCATTTTCTACTTTCTTTGCAAGATTCCCAACAATTTCTACATCATCTCTTCCATTTTCAGCTATCTTCACGCTCTCCAATTGACCATCAGATTTATCTACGTGTTCCCCTCGAGACAATTCAACATCACCATTAAACTCCTGTAACTGCAAATTATCGCATATGTTTCTCTCGCTAATCTCTATATTTGGAGAGGCATTCCCATCCAGTATTTCCATTACATTCTCATCAGACAATTTAGATCCTGAAATTGAAGCACTTTCCTCATCTTGGTTCAAACTAAGTTCCACTTCTTGACTCTTCCTCTCATCCAAGTTCCCATGGGATTCATTCTGTTTATGCTCTTCCGCATGTTTTGTCGCTTTGATCCTCCCTGGTCTTTTTGACTTAACGACCTTCGGTATCCCACCTTCTAATTCCTCTTTCTTATTAATCTCTGGAACCTCCGGCTTTTCATTGTCCCTGCTTTCGTCCATATCCTTGAACAGCTTCCTTTTACCACTCGATGATTCCCTCTCCCTCTTCACCCTGAAACCTACATTTTTAACCCTGGATCTCAACCTTGAACTCCATGTTCCTGGACACTCTACCTCACCAGAACTCTGATTCACATGTACAGGGCTATTCACATCGCTCACACTCCTCAGCATTACATTCTTACCTAACGTCCGCCGTTTCTTAGGGGGAGGAGGAGAGGCATCGAGCACAGCCGGAGCTCGCCGAACCCTTGAGCTGCGGCGTAGCTCTGCATCAGGGCCCGAAGTACCAGCCCCGTCACCATCCTCATTCAATTCACTATGGTTCCGATTATACTCCTTTTCGCATATTGCGTCTAGCCTCTTGTGCTTCTTCCGAAGCCGCGACCCCGATCGATCAAGTCTCCTCTTGTCCAATGACGAACCGGAAGCGGACGATAATCGCATGTCAGGACAGGGAAGCCAACACTATCTACCCAGGTTTCTTTTTCTTTTCTTTTTTAACTGCGAGATTATACGATTATTTACAGCTAAACTTTTGCAGAAGTAGCAAGAAGGTATTGATCGATTGTCTTCGTCGTCCAATTGGGTGATCAACTAAACGCTGAATGAGAAGAAAAACATCACACGCACCCAAGTCACAGCGGGCATAGTGATCCAAGGAAGAAAAAAATGAGAGAAAAACCGAAACCCTAGAAATCGAATAGGCGAAGCGTTTACTCTGAAGTTTCCCGTGGATTCAAAGGGCTTCCATGAACATTGGTTTTGTCCGTATGGTTTCCCCAGAGCCTTCTTCCATTTTTTTTTTCAGGGCTTTTCTTCTCAGAAATTGCCTCGTTGCTGTTACCCCCAGGGAAGGCTAGGGCGTGAGAGTGAATGACACACAGGGCTTTCGCTGATATTTCAGGGCTGATCAACACGCGCGAGAGAGCGACGTGATGAGGACGCCGAGGTTAGGTCAGAGAGAATAAATCTCGGCCGTTGACAAATAGGATAGTAAGGGATTGTACAGACACGCGCTGGTAGAGAGAATTGCAATAGTCACAATAATTGTTCTATTTTCGCTAAATTTTGTGTAATTTATTTTTGATACAACGAAGTATTGCCGCCAAATATAAAAAGAGTTTGCAAAAACGCTGCCGTGACACTAGCATGCAAATTGGAGGGAGTGCATTGGGAGGAATGTGAGCTTCTCTCTTTCGTGTTTTTTTTTTTTTTTTTTTAAGGGCAACGGCTCTCTAAAAATTCAAAAATTACATGGACGTTTTTGTGGGGACTATTTTGTGTGTGTGTTTTTTTTTTTGGAAAAAAATTATGATTTAAAACTTATCTTGTGATAAGAAGGTGTCTTCTAAATGCATCAATATGAGACAAAATTGAAGAATGACAAAAGACATGTCACGCAAGAATGAGCAAAAATGTTGATTGCTTTATGAAATTGGTGAGATGTAGCAAGAAGTTGATCAAATTTTGGTAAACTCTTGTTGACATTTGGCACTTGCCAAGCTCCCTCTTGTCTCAAAATACAGTGCGGCCATCTCTCTCCTTACTTCCCTCCCTCCCTCCCTCTTACACTCACACCTTCAAAGCTCCCTAAGCTTGGAGTGTTGCTCAATTACTGCTACCTTCAATTATGGGAAAGATGTTGAATAATTTGTTTTGATTCTAGAGACTTTTTTTTATGGGTACCTAAAAACACAACACCTCAATTTTCTTTATTTTCCATTTTTTTGGGTAAAATTACGCCTATTGATTATATAAATGAGAAAACTTTTTTAATAAAATTATTAGAATGGATGGTATTAAAAAAACTAACACATTTTTACGCAATAATTATAAATAATCAACTTGACTAATTTCTTTTTTAAGCAATTCAATTAATCTCTTTAACCCATAAGAATTAGTTAATTAGCTGGCATGTTTAAAACAGGATGAAGTGTGTGTGTGTGTGTGTGTGTGTGTGTGTGTTGAATAGTATTAGTAACCTCTTTCGTAATGACTGAACATGTCTTTTAAATTTACCAGGGAAAAGTTAATATAAAAATAAAATTTGCATTAAATATTACATTATTTTTTTACAGGAGAAATATTACATAATTAATTGAAGTAGGTTATAAATGGATCAAAAGATATTCATATATAGCTACTAAAACTCTAATAAGTTAATTGAGTTTAAGCAAAGTTAATTCAGTGTGGATAAGATTTAAAAAGCAAATAAAGGATTAGAAACTTTAGGTCGTTCTTTGGATATTGATATTGCCCAGTAAAGAAATCTGCTATCACTTTCTTAATTAAAATTCTTTCAATTTATCAAAACAAAAGTTAAAAACTCTAATATCTAATCACTGTTTTAATCGATTCTTCGTAGAAATGACTTTGACACGCTATTATATTACTTTTACCATCAGCACACTTGTTTTGCATCAATTTTTTAAGGCAACAAAAAGAAAGCAGAGGAAAACAAAAGCTAATAATCGAATTTTTAGCATGTAACTGTAAAATGAACAAACAAAATGAAAACGTGAATATAAATTAGAGAATAAAGATTGTGTTTTGGCAAATTGATGACGTCCTTTTGGAAACTTAAACGGCCATGCAGATGTTCACAATCATCCATGTAATTCTACCGTACAAACCTATAAATGCAATAATTAGTTATTCTCTGAGATCAAAACAAGATTTTAAATGAAATAAACCATTAAATCTGTTGGGTTCTTATGTGTAGTTTTAAAAAGAAACCTAACAAATTCCAAAGGTGAAGCCGACACTATCTGATTCGGTTCTCGAACAAAAAGTTGACATCTCCAGGAGAATTAGGGTTCCTCCTTGCTGTAATCTGCATGAGTGCACCATCTACAAGCAAGCGCTGCAGAACTCTTGTTATGTTCTTCGTGTCATCAATGCCAAGATGATGACTTCCCCTCAACGGTATTTGTAGCTCCCTCATCATTGTAACCATTCCTGTGGCCTGTTATCCATGAACAAGGAAATGTAAAATGCATCAATAGTCAATATATCATATAAAAATAATAGCAAGCTGCACTATTTATAAACCATAAACAGTGCAGCTTACCTAGAATTCCATACAACGCACGAGAAAACACGTAGGATTAATTTCTTATTAAAAATAAAACAGTTGGATCAAGGGTCAATCTACCTTGTTAACAAATCTGGTACATGGTCTACCTAGTTTCAGGAATTAGTTTTGGGATTTTATTTTATTTTCTAGCCTGATTTAACTACTGATTTATACTCAATTTTTGCTTCGCAGCTTGTTATGTTTCATGTTTTGTAGCATCCGTGATCTCTATTTCAGGTAGTTTTCTTGTATAAAATCTGTGCTTCTTCAAATGTCGAAACTCACCCTTCTATGATAAAAGTTCAGATAGACATCTTTGATATTAATCCACTCCCTAAAGTAAGGAGGAGGCTTTATCTTTGACACTTCACATTGCTGAGGGACCTTTGTTTTCAAATCCCAATTTCCACTGCAAAAGCAAAAGAGTGGCATGTGTTCTATGTGAGAGAGGGGGGAAAAATATAATTACGGTAGGAAGTATAACGGAGTTCTTCAAATCAATCAATGTGGATGAAATTTGAAACCACTACACGCATTCACCAAAGACTTGAATCTAGACACTGACTACTCAGAAACATATGGGATGGGAAATGATAAAACGTGACTACTAAGAACGAAGAGGATGAACCAAATACTGACGAAACATACCAAGTTACAAATGCTGCTCGATTGAGTTTTCCACCCATAAACAATTGATGCTGTTCCAGCCAAGCCTCAAATTGTTGAATAACTTCCTTAAATGGTATGGCTGTGTCATGCCAAACCCTGAAAATAAAATTGTTGCCAGTAGAAATACTTGAAAACCTAAAAAAAAAAAAAATCTACGGTCAAATTTGAAAAAGAAAGAGTATCTTGAATGAATCAGAACCAAAATGCTTCATAATAAACTTCATGACATCTAAATACTTAAAAACTGAACTCTATCCTGTATTGTTGCAATAGATTGAAGAGAAACTTTCAAAACAAAGTTACTTCCAGGCAGATGAAAGGTGGCACTAACTGATAACTAAGAAAACTAATGCAGTAATACTAATGCCTGCAGAGATAGCAAAGCAAAACTGCTTAAGATGATCCCTTGATAACTGCTATAATAGTATAAATTCCATTGGAGCATCATTATTGCCGAAATACCGTAAACCCAAGTAATCTTACAGGGCAAATCTTTTGCTCGCAGGAGATACCAAGTCACAGCAAACACTAGACTGTAAAAGTTTTGGCCACAAACCCCCATCAACCTAATTACACGTGGAAAGAGATTGGGAGTTTGCAAGTTCTACCGACTTGATGGACCATGCCTTGGCAGCAAAAATAAAAAGGAAAAAGAGAAGAATTTATGCAATGCAAGAATGAACAAAGACAGATTAAAGCAAAATAAACTGCATACCTATCGACTCCAAATTTGCCATACTTTCCCTCAATGTACTCATTTATTCTTTTCTCGCTCATTTTTGAGGGCCTTACAAACCTGGAAAAGGAGCAATGGAAAAGAACGATTATAAGTTGAGTGAATCTGAAAGAAATTAAGGTTCTCCCCACATATGTTTATGCAAGTTAAAACAAGTTACCCCAAGAAACAACATGGATTTATATTAATCTCTTGTATGTTGCTAGACAAATGAACCCGTGTTCTATTTAAATGGTCAAAACTCGAGCCCACGATTTCATTTAATGGCCAGAATATTTCTAAAGTAATTGATAATATCAATATGACATGCTCTTAGATTGGAAGTCACACTTCACCATAACTACTACTCTCCTAAGAAATGTATGTCCACAAACACAAGCTCTTCCTCTGCTGTTGAACATTTTGTTAGGTCTATTGAAGACACAAAATAAATAGCAATTTAAAATTAAACATAAACAGAATAACTCTACCAGTCACAGAACTCTACACTGCTGGACATGTCATAAAGTGGATGATTATAACCTGTGGAAAATGTCTTCAACTTCCAATGTTTTTGCGCTAATCATTAGAACTGGAAACTCAAGAATCTCGACTCTACCCTCTAAATCAAGCACCAGGAAAAAGTCAAAATTCTGAGAGCATATTTTGCGCAAATCAGCAATATTCAATTGAAGCTCCCGTGAACAATTGTGATTGAACTTCTCCAAGTGAATGGGATCATCCATCTGTAAATTTGGATTGAAAAAACATTGTCGAAGTTAAAGAAAAATCTAAACTTTCAGCAAAGATTGAGCTTTCAGTTCCCATGTGGCAGGTACTATATTCCAGGAACCAGTTATATTCCTATAATCCTATCGATTCAATTCAGCAGTTATCTTTTACAAACTGCTCATTTACTTAATAAACATTAGGAACTGAGGGCACTGAATCAGGCAATCTTCTATCATGGTGCCAGACCAGTATTACAAAATAGATTTGAGGAAACACAGCAACTGAACAAATTAACAAAAATAACAATCCCACAATACTATCATTTGAAGGTCGGAAGATGATATTGATTATTGGCTATGGTGATGTAAAATCAAGATAATATACCAAACCCGCGAAAATGACATGTCCATATAATGGCACTCGGTTCCCTCTCTAGGGGCAAGTGTAGACTTCGGAATCACAGAATTTAAACCGTTTAAGTTATCGCCCAAAAAATAAAAATAATTAAAAAAAAAGTTCTCGCAACAGAGAAATTGAACAAATCATAAGAACTTGAGAAGACCAGTCATTTCTAAAGAAACCATCTCACCAAGACAAGCACATCAGACATTCAGGCAAAGAGCCCGGTGGTCCCTGCCCTTGTTTTCATAAATGTAACAAGGTGACGATTACATAACAGAGTCCAGTCGATCATGAACTTTGAAGACAATTTATCGAACACGTGGCATGCAAAGTTTTACAAGTACGCCACATGACATGAGCATACCGTAATCTAACTCTCCAAAAACCAAAACAAAAGAGCACATGGAAAGGAAAAGAAGGAAACTTTTCAGAAAAATCTATCAGCAAGAACTTTAGAATTGAGGTTCAACAAAGATAGCATATACAGCCTAAGCCGGAGGACGAGAATGGAGTTGAAAAGGACGGGCTAAGAAAGAAGTTTGTACCTTGGTGCACTTGCCCTGCGTGTGGTACAAGCATAACGGTTTCCAGCGAAAATCAGTCTTGTGTGAAGATGCATCGTGGGAAGTAGTAGAAAGAGAGGCAACGAGAGTGAATGAACGCAACGGAGGGGCTAAAGCACTGTGAAGGGAGAGGTTGTTGGGGATGAGACTGAGAGGCGACCAAGAAACTAAACCGCGCGAGAAAACCTTGCTTAAAGGAGGTCTATAAATAGCCATTGTTGAAATCAATACTTGTGTTTGACTTATGGAGGACGAGGCTATGCATGCAACCGTATGTATGGCATAACAAGCACGTATCTGCCGTTAGCCTTTAACCGTTTGGCATATAACCCCCACCATGTTTCATCCATATTATGGAAATCCAGGATATTAAGCCAGTATTTTAATTAATTTAATAAAATATTTTATTTATGATTGATTTGGTCACACTTTGATAACCATTTTGCCATTAACTTTTGAATTAATATCATGATTCAATGATCAATCTAGTTATCAATAACTTAATATCATTAAAATTAAGAAAAATCTTAAATAATATCAATTCTATCCAAAAATTCAATGAATTTACACCTTTATTCATATTGAATACACAGACATTAAAAATAAAATACCCAACATTTAATAACTTTGCCAAGATTTATTATGAAAAAGAAGTAAAGAAAAACCTAAAAAATCATTTATGTGATTTAAAAATATATTATTGGCAAGCATAATAACAAAAAAATAGAGTTCTATTTAATAAATAAAATTTTTAGCACTTAAGCCATTGATGATGATTCCAATTTGTGTAACATTACTAAAGTTATTGAGATTTGAAAGTGCTTAAAATATGCGCATATTATAAAAGGTATCTGTATTACAAACTATATTTATTGTACATGGAGTGTGAAAATGAGTTTCCATAATCATGACTTATGAATAGTATATTACAAATTTTAATATAAATATAGGATACATTTTCTATCCTTCATACAAAATTCAAATAATGAATCATTTTGCTCATACCAGATAAATAATGTGATTTACTATAAAATCAGTATAAAAGTATAGCAAGAATTATTGCTCATGAATTATGAATAATATGATTCATTTTAAATGCCACGTAAATATACATCACTAGATGTGCTTTTGTTGTGATACATGGATTATTAAAAGGGAGAATCTCATCTAGGACTCTCAAGGGAGAAAAAAATTACACTTAAGGTACAATACGTTTTGAAATTATTTTGTAGGCCTAATGGCTATGTTTTAAGTAAAAAAGATACAATTTTTCTTAGTGGAAAAAAAAAAACAACTCTAGGTTCACTATCAATAAATAATCACTTATTAATATATAAATCTAAAATTAAGAATTTGTGAACACCTAATTGTAAAATATGAACTTGTTGTCATAATAAATTTTAATTTTGAATATATGAAGTCATAAATTATATATTTTGCTTTATAAGTAAAAAAAACTTATACTTGTGAATAATCAATCTTTAAGTTATAAATTTGTTAAGACAAACTGGCCAACCCTAAATAAAAATTTCACTACAGCAAACAATTATTTATTAATATGTGAAATTAAAATTGTGAATTTGTAAATATATAATTATAAAAATCTAAACTTACTATCACGATAAACCTTTTTAAATATATGAAGTTATAAATTTTAGACTTTGACTTCTAAATAAATAAACTTATATTTGTAAATATTCAAACTCTAAATTATAAATTTATTAAATTGACTAAAACAAACAAGTTAACCCTAAATAACAATTTCACTTTCAATGAATAATTATTTATTAATATATAAACATAAAGTTGTGGATTCTCAATCTTATAGTTGTAAAAATCTAAATTCATACTTGTTACCTTTTCTCGCTAAGGGCAATTGTGTCCTTTCTCTCTAAAACATATTTGCCAAAAACCTTTGAGCTTGCAAAATAATTTCAAAGTACATCAAACCCTAAGTGTAGTTTTTTCTTCCATAAAGGCCCTAGATGAGATTCTCACTTATCAAAAAATAGTCGCACAACTCTCAACAAAGTCAAAACAGACAGTGAAATAGTTGAATTTCCTATGTTATTTTATGGATGACCTTATTTACCATCCTGATAATCTTCTAGTATATGCTCTAAGGAACTGTCACTGATGATTGGCCTGAGCATGTTGCAGATTTGCAAGTTGCAACCACTACAAGTAACAGTCTAGAATGTGGAGGCTATCACAGTAAAAATTCCCAAACAAATGTGTGCAAAACAGAGATATATAGACAGCAAAAGTGATAGATGCAAATCATGGTGGAGCTGGAGGTTGAGCATTATCAAAATTTACAATAAAAATCCTATCTGCAGTTAGTTTCATCTGTCATTCATCTTCATCAAGCATAGTAAAATCTTCGACTAAATCAGTTCCTTTGTCCATTTTGCGCACTTCATCAATCTCAACCAGTAACAAAGGATCGCAGACCACCTTATCCGCCTTCAAGAACTTTGGGCAACCTGACAAAGAACAAACTTTGTTACTGCAGGGTGGCATAGGAACATGGAGACTACAAGAATTCAATGATCTACCTGTTACTGGGCATTGAATACGCGAGTGCTTTGACCGCATAAATTGCATTATTGTCTTCTTCTCATATACATGCCTACACTCCATACTGTGTTGAAACATAGATGGAGCAGGAACAAAGAGAAAATCGTAAGCGGCATATACAATGTATATGAATGTCTCGATCCACGCCTAAGCTTTTCAGGACAAAATGTTTGGTAGTTCATAGTTCAAAAATCACTATTAACTTCGCCACTCATTTACTCCACATTACTAGTGCTTTACAAACCTCATTTCACATGCAATGTTACTATCAAGGAGAAGCAGGAAACATGGTGATATAACCCTATCCCTCACCACGAATTCATCTAAGAGGCATGTACCCAACAGATACAACTTAAGAACCACGACATCAATTGAATTTGAAGTTTACATGCATCACGACTCCTTGTAACTGTTCATGCCAAAACCAACAACAGGTCCCTTTATATGATACAGGAAGCACTTTAATGTCATCAAGAATCTTCATAGATATCATATTTATAATAAAATTTCATATTTATTTGATAAAATTTGTTCTAGTTATTAGATTTTCAGCCAAAACAAAATAAATTATTTTCAGAATCACTTTACATTTGCCTGTTGTAGACTTGCAGCATCTTTAACTGCGATGGCACAGCATTTTGTCTCATTGGTTATCAAGGTTCTCACTTGATGCACATTTAGAGTGAAGCTGCTCAGGCAATATTACGGAGCATCATCACCACTAAACCCATGCCATCAAATACAAGACTTCTCCTGAACATCAGATTCATATTTTCCACATTTAGGTTTATAAGTATCCAGGAATTCTTATAGACTTTCAATATGCAAGGGATTTGACTTTTACCAATCCAGAGATGTGGGATTTGAGGGAATGTAGGAGCATGGTGGGAAAACGGATAGGGAATATGGAGGATCCTCAGAATATATTATAGATGATCAGCATATTATGTACCGGCAGGGAAGATTCTAATAACACCCCATTGTCTACCCACGTGATGCCCTTCTTAACTGTGCCAACAAGCATTTTTTCTGAGAAGTAAATGTTCTCAGAAGCACACAATAACAGACCCGGCATGACTAACATTATACTTGTCCGGTTGTCATGAAGCAGTCAGTTTGCTCCCACCATATGCAAGTTAAAGCTCATCTATCCATCCACCCATTAGGCCAAGAAAGTGAAGAGACGCACACATACATGCATTATATACTACTTAATTATTAAGGGAAAAACATGTTTTGAATTTGATCATATTGTACCTGCGAACAGGTTCCACAAGCTCAGTCACATGCTTCCCGGTCAATGGACATTTCATATTCAAAATATTGGGCTGTGTACTGGTCATTACAATGTCTTCTTGCTCTTCACCGGGCATTAGCTGTCCCTCATGATGAACATTCTAATACAGAACACAAAAGGTATATACATTAGATAGCTGCAGGAATTCAACTTAATAACAACCCAATAGAATAAAAGTGCGAGCACCAATAGCATGATATTATTGCATATGTGCCACCAACAACTTTTCTTATAAACAAGACAATCATATAAAAGTTAACGCAGAAACATCTGCAGCAAATTAAATTCATAACATAAAGTTGAAAAGTTCTTCTATTGACAGAGGCACTCAACCAGTACGACAACAATGACAATCTATGTCATTACAAAAAAAAAATATTCTTATCAGAGACAGCATTTGACTATCACCATAGAGAGGCAATAAAAATCTTTTGTACGGATAAAGAAAATCTTTTAGATAAGTGGTGGGTTTTCCAACTTTTCAACTCAATTTCTATAACTCATTTTATGGCAAAAACTTCAAACAGGAAAGTCCATTAACCCCAGAAATATATGAACTGTCACATTTAAGACTGTTGAGTAACATACCCACACAGCTTCCTTAAATTGGCGGATTAAGGGATGCTTTTTTGGATCTGAAGATGAATTGGCCTTTAACTTTGAAGCATCCTCCTCAAACAACTTCCTAAAATCAGTCAACTGCATATTGAAGATCAATAAACAAGGTTTTGGAGAAAATGAGGGGTTAGAAGACAAGACATCATCAGACAAACAAAATATCTTAAAGTGCAGACCCAAAACCTCTTCTCCTGGCTGGTATCTGTCTGCAACAGACTGAACAGCAGATGAAAAATGTGCAAAGTCTTCCGATATGTCCAATAACTCCACAACTGCATCTTCAAGCTCCTTCACCTAAAACATTTTATAATTATCATATAATTAATAAGGAAGAAATGCTTAATCGTCCATCATCTTTGAATATCAATTCAGTAACACAAAGATTCTTTATCATTAGAAAATTATTAGATGCTCTCCACGTAATCATTTATAAGATCCAAATAGATTCAAATCAGAAGACTGTGAAAAAACAAACAAATAGATACATAGAGACAATTTTACAGAGTATGTCCTCCGCACCTCCAATCGAAAACCGAATCAATGGCAGAAAATCATAAATCATTGAACATTTGAAGGAATAGAAAGAAACAGTCCCAGAAGATCTTAAATCTCTAGTTTTTACTCATTGTCCACGCTACAATCATCTAGCAATATAAATTAGTTCAGTGATGGATGGATTAATTTCAGATTTCAATATGAAAGAGCAAGAGGAGAAAAAGTTTTTCAATTATGAATATTATTCCAGATAATTTTCTTATGTCCCGATGAATTCCAAAACTTTCATCTAGAGGATTCTGGGTCCTGCTAGAAAACATCCAGCTTAACTGAAATTATCATGCTCCTTGCATCATTATCAAACAAGAAAACAGGGGGGAACATTGAGATTAAATACAAAGAACTGAAATTCAGAGTACCATATCAGACTGCTTATCTTTCTCCAAATCAACTGCAATTTCCTTCATTAAACCCATTACCTTTCGGGTATCCTGAAACAATGACACATGATACAACGGAACATAAAACCAAAAAATTTACTGAAAAAAAAAAATAAAACGGAACTTCGTAATGAATAATCTTCCTTCACGAAAGCAATCTTAGCTCACTGTTCTCAGCTTCCGAGGGGGCAAACTTTTCCCCCATTTAGGAATTTTCGGACAAGCAAGTGTCGCTCCCATAGTAAATTGAGTTTTTTACAACAGAGACGAGCTAAATCATGTGCTTTCAAAAAGAAAAGTTGAGCTCTTGGCAAGAAAGAAACAACTCAACCGAAATATTAATTCCACATTCCGTAAAATACAAGATCAAGAAACGCTGTATTTTGCACTTTGAGAATGGGAAAAGGCAAAGGAAAATCAGCTTCTCAGGATTAAAGAAGCACTTCCGAGATCAAGGGAAAAGAGCATTAAACAAAGGTTGAGCGAGAGGGGGAAGTTACAGTAATGAGAGGCAGATTATCTGAGTAGAAAGTCGAAGCAGCAGTTTTGATTCTTCCACTGGCGCCACCGGAATGTGAAGTCGACGCCATGGCTCTCCGATCACCAACCCTTGCCTGCTTTGAATGGAATGGATTTTTGGAGGGAGCGCGAGGGCTTCAATGAGGTCCGGTTGGTTATTAAGCAATGGAATTAAAAAAAAAAAAAAACAAATGAGCTAATAACTTTTCTTTCGTAATAAAACTTATTAATATATATTATAAATATAAAAATTATAACACTTTATATCTGATTCTTAATTTTATAAATTTAATTATTATTATTTTTATGAATGTGATTACATATTTTTTTATTATTTTATTTTTATTTTTATTTATGTTAATTCATTTCTTTACCAAATATACCAAAAGTATTAAACTGTGCCCCCAAACTTCATCGTTTCATGACACTGATTATTTTATTATTTATTCCTGTTTTGTTGCATGCATTACTATTATGGTATTTATATGTGGTTCAAAACATTTTAAAATATATAATATATTATTTATGAATTTATCTATATATACAGTGCCTAGCATTTAATTTGGCTCTTTTGATTTTTGCAACCGTTTTTCAATTACTGCATTTTAACTCAGCTCAAATATGTAAAACTCTTATAAACTTTACCACAATTCTATATAACCTCTCACATTTAAAATTCTAAAATTAACTCCTTTAATTTTTAATTTTTTTCAAAATTTCTTTTTTAAATTATATTTTTTATAAGGATTGAAATGTCATTTAATTATAAAAAATTATTAAATAAAATTATTATATTATAAAATTATTTACAATCAACTTCTTTTGTTTTGGATAGTTAAGGCATAGGTGGCTTGAAAAATATTATTATTACTATATAAAATTTTAAATATTTATATTTGTATGAGCTTTATCAATTTATTCGTTATCAATAGTGCATAATTTTATTATTTTAAAGGATAAATTTTTATTTACATTCTTAGGTTTGATTAATGTAATACATCATTGATAACAAAAAAAAAAAAACTGGATAAAACTAATACAACAGTAAATATTTAAAATTTTATACAGTGATAATAATAATTTTTTACTATCAGTGCCTTAATTATTCAAAAAATATAAGAAATTGATTAGTCATATTTCTACAATATAATATTTTGTTTAATAATATTTTTTAATTAAATGACATTTTAACCCTTATAAAAAAATAATATAATTAATAGTAGGAGGTTAATTTTAAATTTTTAAATGTAAGGAGGCCATATGCAATTATTTGTTTTAAAGTTTTAAAGAATTTTATATATTTTAACTTTTTAATTTTGTATTTGTGTTTGTGCGCGTGGGCGTACACAAACACGACTTAAATGAGATTACTCATCCATAAGCCATCATATTGATTCTCGCAAATTTTAGTGTTTGCAAAGATCAAGGGCAATTAGGACTGCTTTGAGTAGCCAGGATGTCATTTTGTTTCCCAGGCTTGCGTATCAACCTTATAAAAAAAATAAAAAAATTGAAGCAAGTTTTGAGACCCCATCACAAAAATTAACAGATTGATGCTATTTCTATGTCAACAAAGGTTTGATCCTTCTAAAAAGTACCATGAGAATTGAGAAAGAGATTCTAATAAATGCATGAGATAAGCATCGGGTGATGCATTCTAAGGAACTTTAATATCAGACGAGCTCACTTAGACCCATGAAACAAGCATATAGCTCTTCAATCTGCACAACACTTTACAGGTATAACATTTCAATTTAAATTTTAATAATTAATTTAAATTAATAAAAATTTTAAAAAATATTTAGAGGTAAATAAATTATTAAAAAATAATTATTAAATCTAACTTAAAATATAATTTTAAATTAAATTTTTTAAAAAAATTATTAATTAATTAAAAAATATTATTAAATTATTATTATTATTATAAAAAAAAGAGAAAATATATGAATAAAAAAAAGGGAAGAAGAAGAAGAAGAATAAAATTGCTTTCGGTGCCGCATGCAATGATCACACATATAAAATAATAAAAAAAGAAAGAAGAGAGAGGAAAGGGAAAAATAATAAAAAAAATTGTGGGACCCAGATTCGTTTTTAAAAGCCACCGTTCTCTTCTCATTTTCCTTCATTTCCTTCCTCTTTCGTGTGCGATCAGAGAGAGCGTTATGAGCGTGAGTCGCCGGTGCATAAGATTTGAATTTTTAAGGTAAATGTTTTTAATAGGATATTTAGGGTGTGATTTTAAGCTTTTTAAAACTAAGTAAGTGTTCTAAAAAAATTTCTTAGTTATCCTTCCTCTTTGATTTCTGATTTTGTGGTGGTAGAAAATTTAGGATCTGAAAGAGGGATGAATTTATGTTGAATAAATATAATTTATGAGGTTGTTAGTAGTATAATAAATGTTCTAGAGTATAAATTTGTTGATGATCTTTGAATTTGTGGCTTATGGATCAAATTCTAAACTAGATCTGAAAATATATGTTGATTTATTGAGGTTTAGATGATTATTTGGGATGAGAAATGAATTATTATGGCTATAGGATTATGATTCTAAGCTAAAGACTCAATTTTTAATTTTTGGATATTTTAGGTGCGAATTTATAAAATAAAAAGAAAATTTTGATAATAGAAATTAATTTAGAAGTTGATTTTTAGATTATTAATGTTTATTGATAATTAAAAGAGGAGTTAAAAATTTTATTTAATAGTATTAACTCTAGATTTGTATTAAGATTTAAAATTAGGAATTATGTTATATTTTTAATTCTATTATTAGAATTATTTTATTAGTTTCAAAAATTAAAACTAATATTTATAAATAATATGTTATTTGTAGATTGTATTATTGGTGAAGATTGTGGTCGGAGAGAAATTGTAAGGAATAATTTATTGAAAAAGCCACGAGGTAACCATGCTTTTAATTTGTGATTAGTGTTACTTCATGTTAATTGAGTGATTATTGAGAAAATTATAAATTTTGTAGTATTGTATAATTGTGCAATATTATTATGAATTTATTTGATTATTGTGGGAGGTGTTGGGAGACTTGCTATTGTTGTTGTATTTATATGCCACGTGGTACGCCCCTATTGGAGCTCAATAGGTGGCTTGTAAGGGCTCGGGCTAATCTACCTTTGGTCGGGTAATTTAGCACCGAGTGAGGGCTACGGCTCAAGGTTAATTGAGGGATATAAGGATGGTTGTTTGTGTGTATTGTAATATTTCTTATATTTGTTGGAATTATATTATTTTTGGTTTCCACTTAGTAAGTACACACTTAACTGTTTGTACACACTATCATAAATTGGCTTTGGTTACTGAGACTTTTGAGTCTCATTATGTGGTTAACAATTTTCAAGAGAAGAGCCACAAGTGACACGTGGAGGAGTCCCAAAGGCTTAATGACATAGATCTACTGTCTCTTTTGGGTATTTGATTTATGATTTATAATGTGTTATATTGCCAATATTAGGGCTTTTTGTTTATTGACAATTATATGAATATATAAATGTAATCATACCTTTCAAACTATTTCTATTTTTGGTATACTTTGGATGACTGTAATTTTAATATTTGGTTTACTTTGGATTGGTTAAAATGGCATGATTATGAGGCCAAATAACTGACTTGTGTTGAAAATTGACTAAATTGTTTATTTTACTTATTGGGAGTATAAGGATGGACAAATGTGATTTAGCCTAATGGCATGTCGGAGGTAAAAATTTATTTGAATGTTATATTGTGTGAGTTGAAGCCAATTATAGAATATTTTATATTGAAATTATTGATATAAAAATGTGTTGGGTGGCTGTAACCCAACTATGGTTGAATTAAATTATTTAAAAAAAATTTTTGGTGTGTTACAACAATCATATGAAAATTCAGTGAAAGATCTATGAGCTCCTCCTTCACCCTTCATCAAAAGTAACATCTCCTTGGTCTCCTTCAGCTCGACCTTGAGCCTCTCCACATCTCTCTCAAGCTGCTGCTTCTCTGCCATCACATTCTCTAGCTTCAACTGTGTAACAGCCCTCCGCTCACCCCGCCTCCTCGAGGTCTTTTGCGGCGCTGGACACTCTCCCCCCAGGCCCCACAACAGGGCGACCCCACCCCTTTCGGTGAGCATCAGGAGACAAAGGCTTCCCCGCAGTAGTTTGCGTGGTTCAATGGTATCAGGTTCAGCTTCAACTTTGTTATGTAGGAGAGGTTGGAGGATCGAACCTGGGGAGGCTCTCCGCAAGGGGAATAATCCGCAAACTACTGCGGGGAAGCCTTTGTCTCCTGATGCTCACCGAAAGGGGTGGGGTCGCCCTGTTGTGGGGCCTGGGGGGAGAGTATCCAGCGCCGCAAAAGACCTCGGGGAGGCGGGGTGAGCGGAGGGCTATTACAAACTGCAAGGTACCATAGTCCTCCTCGAGATTTTGCGTCTTCCAGCGAGCTCATTTGTTCTGGTACCATATTGCAACTTGTCTTGGAGGCACACCTAATTGTTCTGAGAGCTGCAACGTCTGCTCTAGCTCCAGCTTCTTTCTGCAGGCAAAGCTTTTCTCTAGGATGGCCACTTGATCTTTAGTTAGCCTCTTTTTATTGCGTTTCTGGTTTTGGAATGACAAGAAGAAATTCTCCATATTGATTGTTGGGGGGTTGTATAAATTCTCCATATGGGGCCATAGTTCATGCATCTGTGGACTTTTAATTATTTGGAAGATCAGCCCTTAATCAAAAGCAAAATATTTCAATATTCAAACCGTGACGCACAAATGCAATCCCTTCACTGAATCTGCCAAAGATCATGTGTCTTTCTTCTTATCCCAAGTGCATGAACTTTATACAGCCAAGTAAGTCAACTTGCCAATAGTCATAAGGATGATCTTGTCATGTTTCAATCACAGATTATAATATGTGATGTCTTCTTATCCGCTGATAACTTTTCAATTGTCGGTGTGAAGAAGAAAGATTTAGTTAATTATTCTTGTTAAGACATGAATCTTCTCTAATATAACATGTCAGAAGATTTAAGCCAAGTCCCACCAATTTAGCTAAGAGATGAATTATGAGGTAGACGCAAACTAATTCTGATACTGTGTAATTAAATCTTAAATGGATTAACATTGATATGGAGAATGCAAGATAATCTAAAGTAAAGCGAGAATTTCAAATGAACAAGATTAAAAAATAACCCCAGTAGTAATTGAGGGGAAAATAACATGAAATCAAATCAGAGTATCTTATTCAACAATCATGAAAGGTTGCATCAAGTCGTCAATTAATATCAACAAGGAATCTTATCAATAAACCATTGAATCACTTTGATTGGAAGTTTGATGAGTCCTATTGCACAATTTGCTAATCCTGCGAAGCAGACGCAACAAGGGCACAAGCAACTCAACACAGACCTGTCATAGATATCAAATATTTAAAACCTGAGGAGAAAAAAGAATCATGTAAGATATTTGATCGAGGAGAAAACTTACCCAATGATCCAAATAATTGCACCAACCAAAGATAGCACCAAGGAAACAAGGGCAAAAGGTAGGCCTATCAAGAACCCAAGTGGTCTGCATTCACACTCTCCCATAGTTCTCTGCAAAAATTCACAGCCCTTTCTGAAAACAGACCACCTTACTGATGAATTAAGATCTCCAACAATATCAGTTTCTGAGAATGAACTCACAGAAATTCAAGAACTGTTTCTTTTGAACTGAAAGATTGGTGTTAAGAAGTTGAAGATCCTGCCAAAGTTTTATAGGCAGAAGCGTGAAAATATCAAAGCGCAGAACAAGGATGTCTGGTGCACTACCATGAAGACTTTCATTGGGAGTGATGATCAGGATGATAACACCAAAGAGTCCACTACAGTTGTGTGGGGTCGAAATGGAATAAAATAGTTGGCATCAAGCTTCAACAGATAGAGTGAACTTTTAGTCCCGTTTAGAATAATCAGTAAAGTCATCATCTTTTTCAGCCCCCCACTCTCAATCTTTCACAAGCATCCATGTGTGCCGAAGAAATGAGTTTCACGTGAAGGATTCCCACGGCCTAATTTCCATTCAAACTTGTTATCATTTATTCTTTTCGTGCATTATCAAAACTATCCCCAAGCAATCAATGATAGAGTTGGGAAACCCGGCCACATGTGCCCGGCCCTTAATGGGAAAATCCTTTTATCCTAAACTTGACCATTTTTTCAAGCCAACTATTATTGATTGGGTTTAGAGTTAGGTTCAAAAACATGTTTTTATTTTTATTTTAAAAAAATTAAAATTAATGTTATAACATTACATATTTATACTCTAAGATACAAATTAAAATGTTTTAAAATCTGCAATAAGTAAAAAAAAATCTAATTTTAAATTATAAACAAATATTTTAAAATTTTAATCCAAAGATATAAAATATGGGTAGCCTGAACTTATTTTTTTAAAGTTTAAATGAACTGTGTTCTAAAGCCTTTTTATATTAAAATATCTCAATTTTTAAAATTTGAATTCAAAAATTCAGGCTTAAATAGCTTAACCAACATATATTTCTCACTCTAACCAATAAAATTAAGGATAGAGCTATAAATATTAACAAGGGCGCAGCAGGTAAAAATAAAAATGTTAAGGGAGACAGAGTTAGATATTTTTTTTTTTCTGAAAATAATCCAATCTACTTGTATAGTCCATTACAAATGAAGCAAAAATTTTAGGGGAGGTGGCTCCCCCTATTTGAGATTACTATGTTCGTCCTAGAGCACAATAGTTGCAGTATAATTATATTATGTAATCTATATCGATCCAAATCAATATTAATGTCAACTCATTCAATATAATCTATAAAATGTATAAGAATACATAGTGTTTTCGAATGGTAAATCATGCCATTTTAAAAAATGAATGAATGGCAAATCATGCAACTCATTTTTGAAATTACATGTTCGCTTAACTTCCATTTATAAGCTTTCAATTATCAGGAAAAATTAATCTAAATTTTTCATCTATTTAATTATCTAATTATCTTATATTGTTTATAATCTTTGGCAATAATGAACATCATCTCATAAAACATGTAATTTTTTCACCTCCCTTGACAAAATTGTATTGAAGTCAATTAAAAAGTTCCTTTTATTTTACTAATTAAAAACTATATAACAATTAGAGAAAATAATAATAAAATCCTTTTGAACTATATAAACAACAATTTGATTCTTCAAAATGTCATAATTCTTCTAAAGTCTCTAAGGATTTTTATATCATGAATGAATTTATATAAATTTACCAAATTGCCTTTGTTAAAAAGTAATGATTCATAAGTTTTGTTTAAATATTTACAATTTTTCTTCTTATATTCACAATAATGCACCAACAAATAAAGAATTTAACATGTAAAGTTATAGTTTGATATTGCATTGTTGCGAATATTAAAAAAAGTTATAAATATTTAAACAAAACTTATGAATTATTTATTTTTAACAAGGACAATTTAATAATTTATATAAATTTATTAATGATAAAAAAGTTTCTAAAAACTTTGAAAAAATTATGACATTTCGAAATATTTTATTATCATTTTTCTGTAATAATTATTGAACGAACTGTTTATCATTAAATTCAACATTCATAGTCGTCAGTGGATACACGTTTTATTTCCCTGCACCCAATTCAAGTGCGTCAAGTATAATTTCAAAAGCTTGAAGAACAAGCCATTCTTTCTGAAGTGCATTTTGGTTTAGAGAAAAGGTGGGGAGGATAAAATCGTCTAAAATCCCCACTTTTGTGTGCATTCGGTTCCCCACCTTGGCTGGCTACACGTACACAATGAAAAATGGACTGACAGAATAATTAGTTTTCCTCAGCATTTTTTTTTTTTTATGAGGCTGATCTGTGATGCTTAGGGCATATAGCTGGCTTGGTGTGTTTTTTTCTGGCTTTCAATTAATTGGTTTGTTACTCTTTTCCTGATTTATGCGAGTCTGTTTCTTACGCCCCAATGAAAAAGCAAGAGACCACCATCTTTGCCCCTTACTAAAATCCAACAAAAATCCAAATTTCCAACAACCTTAGTGCTAACATCTTTCGGAGGTTACAGTAAACACTGCACCGTCAGAGTATGTATTTATAGTAGTTTCTTTGTCTCTTTCTATTGCCTGCTTCCGGCCTTCTCAGTCAAATAAACAATATGATCATGAGTAATGTAACAGAAAAGAACTGGTAATTAAGAATTAAGATACAACCTTGAAAAATTATCAAAAGATCATTCTAATTTCAAAATGAATTCCAGCTCCAACCATCTTTTCATCTTCCTCCTACTCTTCTTCTCCTCGTACCACAACCTCGATGACATGGCCAGATCTGATGACAGTTCGATCAACACACTGTGCAGCAGAACTGAAGAACCAGTGATTTGCAGGGCATGCCTGCAAGCAGATCCTAACAGCAAGTCAGCAGATGGCCAAGGGCTGGCCCTCATGGCCATTTCCTGCGCAGAGAGGGACACAACCTTTCTGCATGGAGACACATTCAATCTTCTTCAGAATGCTACAGGCCATTTAAAAGGAATCCTTGATGATTGTACTCAACGTTCATTTCTAGCACAGCAAGAGTTTCTACCTGCTGCTCGCTATGTTCAAGAAGGTCAGTATGACAGTGCTATAGATGTTATTGCAGAGGAAATCATCCCTTCAGTCATGTACTGTTTGAAACTGTTCGACCAAAATCCAGAATGGCCAGTGCCGCAACTGGTCTTGGCCGGCACTGTGGCCTCAAACCAAACCTGTAGAAATGCTGTTGAAATCCTGAGATCTATTTGAATATGGGAATATGATTGCTGAGTTAACTCAGCTATTAGAATTGGATAATATCAAGGTTCAACTTTTCCCAACCAGAGATGACCGCATCTTAGCTGGTATTAACTCAATATCAAGAGGCCATTCCTAGACCAGTAAACAATAATTTACAGTACAAATACAACGTAACCTGCAAAAGATTCAAATTGTCATTGAATTAACAAAAATATGCAATTGACTTAGTTCCGTGAGAGCTTTCTTTCTTTCACGACTTCAACAAGTTGTTGTTAGTAATTCTATAACAACATTAATCCCGCCATCAACTGCAATTTGTATATGACGGAAAGGAAGGAGGTTGGGAGAAGCGCAGCAGGAATTTGAATTTGTAAATTTGCATATACTAATATCGATAACTAACATGTTTACATAGCTACCAAACAAACCATCGCCACTAGCTAATTTTGCCCACATCATAAGTGAAATCTACCTTTAGGTTATCCTATTAAGAGACAAAAGATAAGTTGATCCCTGATACAAATCCATCCTCGAGACAAAAGAAAAGATACCAGGAGACCAAATAACCCATCAGTTTTCTTCAAAAACTAAGCTGCTGTTATGATGTTATGTCAGCCGCCAAAAGAAGCCCTGTCACTCCTCTACATTTACCAGCTCATACTCAACCAACGACAGATTGTTATCCTCCTTGACAGTAAATTGTGCTGGCTCAGTAACCTCAATACGGCCCCATTTGTCAACTGCTAGCCTCATAGATCCCTTGAACATGTCGATCCTAGCATTCCGGAGAATAACAGTGGTACCAGGTTTCATAGTATCAACTGAATATAGGAAGTGGGGATGCACGTTAGATCTTAGCATATTACAGAAACACTACAACATTCATATATGCACATTATATAGTTAATCATTTGTAGATCCTAACAAAACGTGGACTGCCAATCAACTCATGATCTAAACCAACGAATACTAAAAGAACAAAGATGTCCCACAAAATTGTTAATCATTTGTGACTAAGGAGCGCTAAGATTTACCAAAATTGTCCCACAAAATTTCATTAGAATACAGCCAAGTATGAACCGAGTATATCAGCGTCATCTTCTTCATGACCCATTTCCTTGCAATTGATCCCCATGTTAAACAGGTGCGTTTTGGAATCATTAACAGCAACGGTACAAGTAAATTCAGGCATTACATTGCAGTGCACAACGACTGTCAAGGAACCAAAACTTGAAGTCTGGGTTCCCGTATGCCAACTAATCAAAATGATTCGAGCAAGATCAAATAATATATCAATTATGCCAATATTGCAAGGTTTTTAAAAGGTCCTGTCATAAGCCTTTCAACCTAATGTTCACATTGATAGCAACAGAACCAGCATGTTAATTAGGTGGAATACAAATGATATTTGGATATCACAAAATTGCAAAGACGTCAAGCAAACTCGATTGCTTGAATTATATAAATGCATCCTTTGATGTTTAGAAACAATGCACTGAGAAAATTAACACTATAACGCATATCATATGTTCGTAGACTAAAAATGCTCATTAACGCCATTATTAACATCTAGAATTTCTAACACTTATAACACCAGGATTACATCAATTGCCACACTTTTGGTGAAATGAATGATGACATTAAGCTAAATTCGATCACCACTATTTTTATATTACAAAATTCAACGTTCAATTTGATTGATTTAAAAATAATCGCATCACTAGACCATTGGAAAAAGCAACCTTTAAAACGAAAAACAAAAAATAAAGTATGACATGAGGAATGAGAACAAAAAGTCAACATATCTATTCGTCATCTTGAGTCTGAGCAGGACTGCTCCCAAACAAAACTTTTATAAGGAGCCACAAAAAGAGCCAAAACAATATACGTATGTATGCATGTAACTTCAAACAAAAACAAGACACGCAAAGGGAGTAAAAAAGAAAAAGAACATCACAGCCCAAAAAAGTAAAGAAGTGGGAAAAAAGAGTGGAGAGGGGAGAACTTTTAAGGTCTACATGAACATGATACACCAGCATTTTCAGCATTTGATTAGTATAGAAAGTGGAAAGAAAATCTAAAAAATATACCTTTTTTATCTTTTCTCCTCAATGGCCCCAAAGAGACAAACTGAACATTAATAATTAACAAATCACTAAAAACTAAGAAGCAAACAGCCGGGTGTACCTTGATCATTACGGGCAGTGAACAGGATAGAGCCAGTCTCGTCCCCGACGAGGCATTCAGAGACTCGAGTATGACGGAGGTGCTGGGAAGCAGAACGACCCTTCTGCAAGACAGCGTTGGAGTTGAGAACTTTGACAGTGAGAGTGTGGCCGCTAGTACCAGGCTTGAGCTGGTCCACCTTGACAAACACGGGCTTTCTCAGTGCAGGTTTCACATTACCCTGTTGCTGCTGTTGTTTTGGCGCAGTGGTTGTAGCCATGTCCAAATGAACGAAATCAGAGAAGGAGGGGAAACCCTAACCCTAAATCTGAAGGAGGAGGACAAAGATGAGCAAGCTTGGTGAGGAAAGATGGAAACGAATCTCTCTGCCACTCCCCACCTCTTCTCACGCTGTTTTAAGAGTTTGGCAATGAACACGACGCTTAATAGCTGCGTTTTTATTGTGTGAAACCATAACTATTTAATCACGAGACACGTAAAAAGCAAAGAATATATTCTTTGGAAATTGCTGTTTGTTTATTCCTTGGAAAATGGGGTTTTAATTCAACTCTGCTCATCAATCATCTAGCAAAGAATAATCTTTTTGGTTTTCCGGAATCTAACGAAGAATCGTCAAACAGAAATATCAGCAACAATAGATAATATATACTGGTAACACCATAAAATTTGTAAAAAAATTAAACTCGACTTTCATATAGCAATGCTAATATTGTATAACAGACATATATTTCAGTAAATTTGTTGCATTTTCTTTTGAATCTGTTGATATCACCAGCAAAAATTAATTGAAGTTAGTAATTTTCGCCTGTAATTGATATCAGAACTCATTTCTTTACAGAGTATAGTACGTAGTTAAAATATTTTCTATCTGTTAAAAAAATGTAAAAAAAATTGAATAATAAATGTGATATAGATTTTCCTTTGTGCATTGATATAAGTTTGTTTGGTTAATTTGCTGGTTAAAAAAATAGATTTATTTATTGATTATTGAAAATTTTAAAAATTATCAGGAAATTTATGTTATTAAAAATTCAGTGGAAGCAGTTGTAAACATTCACACAAAAAAAAAAAAAATTGCCAAAGATTGCACCCTACCTACGAGATTGCAGGAGATGAGATGATAGCAGAGGACTGTGAGGTCCCCTTGGCCAAAAAAAAAACCTTCAGGAAAAGTCAATATTTGTATTGATTAGTTTGTATATATACGCATTTTTCTAATCACTGCAGGGGCATTATCGTGATTCTTCCAAAATATTTACCTTTTATATTAAAAAATATAAGATATTTTTAATCAAATTTTACTTTTAATAAAATAATTATTTTTTTTCAAACTAATTTTATTTTTTTATATTTACCTCTATCTAATATAATATTTTATTTTAAAATAAATATAAAGTAATTTATTTAATAAGAGTACATTTAAAAATAATAATAATTATATTAAAAATATCTTACATTTTTTAACGAAGGAAATAACTATAAGATATGATCTTATCAATAAACCTACTAATATGAGTTTATCCTCACTTTTATTTATTTATTTTTAGATATTTTGCCTTCTGTTATATTTAAAAACTAAACTACATCCATTCAACACAAAATTGATATAATTAATTCATTAAAAATATAAATATTATTTCAATAATAATAATTAGGTATTAATTTTTTAGCATTATAAATTAAATAATTAATCATATTAATTTTTGGTATTAATATATAATAAAAATTATAAATTTTTATCACATTTTTTAAAATTATAAATTAAAAAAATATAAATAACAAGAGATTAAATTTTTAACATTATAGATCAAATTTTAGGTTATTTAAAATCTTTATCATATTTTTTAAATATTTTAAATATTAAATTAATATTTTTTTGGATAATTGTATATTCAAAAAAATATTTTACTATCACAAATCAAACAATTTTTAGTGTATCAAATTAACTTTTAAAAAAATATAATTAAATATAAATTTTATTGTAATAATTGACTTTTATTAAATTAATTTTTATTAAATAAATTTTTGATAAATTAAAATGCACGCTTAGAGTTCAACATGTGCATTTTTACGTTAAAGATCGATAAAAATGTTTTTAGAAACCTTCGGCTTCGAGGATAGAGAAAATTAATAAATTAGTGCCTGTACCTCGTGCCCTTCTTCACCATGGTTCTTGAATTACCGGGACCAATTATTTAATTTTCACTCGAGATTAATATAAATTATTCTGGGCCATCAAAGAACGATCAAAGGCCCTGCGGTGTACTCCGTTCAACTCGAACCTCACCTCGGGCCCTCAACACATGAGCACCGATCCTTTTTTTTTTTTTTTGACCTGGAGCATCATTCTTTTTTAGCTTTAGATTGTTCCAACACCTGGCACGTCTTAAGTCAACCTTCACATCAACTTTAAATTGTTCTCAGATTATAAAAAACTATGTCAATCATGAAACCGATTAAGATATAATTAATAGATAAAATCTTACTCAAATCATGACTAACATTAAACATCAGAAATAAAATTAAAACCAAAAATGAAAAACTTAAAAAGTGCTTTTGACATTTTTTCAATAGTTAAAAGTTATTTAAATATAAAAAAATGTGATAAAAGTATTTTTATAAATGTATTTTAAAAAAGTCGTTAAATGTGAATTTGCTCAACTTATTTTTCCTTAACTTTTGAGATGTGCTTTTCAAATGTGATCCATTAATTTATGATATGATCATGCTATCCTTGATTTTTATATAAAAAAATTGCAGGTAATTTTTTGACAAATCACATATATAAATAACCAAACACACATTTATTGTAAATGTGAGTTAAGATGAGGTTAAAATGTAAATTTGACAACTCCATTTTTTGATGAATTTGAAATTGCAAATAAGAGTTGAATTGTACCTATTTTTGTAAATAATCATAATACCCTTGTTATGTTTTAATTTTTTATTCTTATTATTTAACATATTAAATTTTATGCTTTTTTAGTTTTTTTAAATATTTCTAATACACTATATTTATATAATAGAATTATAAATTATCATAAATTAATGTCTTTTCTAGTCATTGTATATTCAAAAGTATATTTTAAAAATATAAATTTTTATTAATATAAACAATTTTCAGTTTGTCAAACTGACTTTTGAAAAAAATGTATCCAAGCATGAATTTTATTACAACAACTGATTTTCATCAAACTGATTTTTAGTAAATTGAAAACCAAACATATACTTAGTACCTATTTGGACTTCAATTTATATCTGACAAAAATATATTTAGAGGGTCTAATTCGTTCCCAAATAAAATCAGAAACTAGTAATACCACAAAATATTTCAATAAATATACAAGCATCAGTAAATCCATAAAAGAAAATAAAAAACAAAGAAAGAAGAAGGAAAAATCCTGATCTTGAATCCTAACTTTATATTGGTTGTTTCCTTCTTAGAAAAATATGACAGGCAGCAAAGACCAGAGGTGAGAGTGTGTGTGTTTTTTTTTGGGGGGGGGGGGGGGGTGATGTGTGCTTATGGACTGTGGTGTGCTGAAAGCCAGACGAGAAAGAGAGGGATTAAAAATCAAACGCCTGTGAGGGAGAAAGTGAGAGTTAAAGGCTGTGTTAGCTAGTAAAAAATATTGACCGCTAGATTGAATTATAAATCATGATCCATGTGCCACATAATCTTTAGACAATTCTGCATTAAAAAACGCTTGGATTTAATTGAACCTTCACAATTTGATCTGTCATATCTATTAATTCCATTTAAAATTCCTAAATTTTTCTTTAAAAAAATGAGATTTATGAACTTTTATATATTAAATAAAATGATTATATAGCTTTAATTAATTGCATCAATTCAGGTCTTATCTTCTAAATAATTCATATATTAAGAAAAGTAAACATTTTATTAAATACAATTTTGTGGTTAAAATTATCGAATCAAGATTTCATTAAATCTTAAAAGTGTTTTGTTTGGGCAAAATAATCTTTCGTTAACGATTTTAACATCAAGGAATAAAAAAAAATTATCTGATCAAATTACAAGTCCCAATGTAATGACCTAAAGTTTTAAAAAAAATTTTAAAATAAAATTTTTATTATAATCAAGTGTTTTGATTTTATTTATTTTATTTTTGGAGTAAGGTCAATAACGGGGGTGTTGGCTTAGTGGTATTTATCATAGATTTTTGACATTAGGTTTAGAGTTTGAACCCTCTTAGTGCACATGGGAAAATTTTCTTTTTACTTTTTAGCTTCAAGCCCTAAAAAAATTACCATCTTACCCTTGAAAAAAATGAGAGGGAGGCATCAGAAATTAAAACGCACGCGCAACTCACTGCCTTCATTTCTTTATCATTCTCGAAATCATTCTGGAGTTTCAAAGAGAAAGAGGGGGTAAGCATTTGGTGTGTTTTGATGATTGAAGCCACAAAGCTTTAGTGTGTTTTGCTGATGCCCGTTTGTTTTAGAGAAAAGGAAATTTAACTGTTGAGCTGAAAATTCATCTTAAAATTTGATGCTAATTTATATATGGTCATAATTTTTGAGTTGAATTAATTTGTTTGGAATGATTGATCTTAAAGCAATTGTTAGAATGAAATTGGAAGAGAAGAGCTAAAATGTGAGACTTGAAATTTAATGTCTATAAAGTGTCTGTTAAAAAAGTTTGTTAGAAGAAATTAAATTTAATTTTAAATATTTTAAAATTTCACTGATTCTTAGGATTTGCATGGTTAATGGTTAATTGTTGGATATTTTAATGGAATGGTTATAAATAATACATTTAATGTGTTTGGTGAAAATCATAGGAAAAAATTTGGCTCCAAATAAATAGAGTGGCATGGCTAAAGAAAGTTGGAGGAGATTAAAGATGTGATTGATAATACTTGAGCCAACTCTAAAATGTGAATTTTAGTTTTGAAATTTCAAATGATAATAGTTGATTAGAATTGCATTAGAAGTAGGAAGAAGTCTTTATAAGTGAGGGAAAATTTATTAAATTTCATCCATTTATATCCTTGTAGGGGGTGAAAAGAACAAACCCTGACAAGAATTAAAGAAAAAATATCTTTAAACATTTAAAACTCTAATAAATAAGTAAATGATGTCCTAATTAATTTACTTATAACAATCTTTTATTGAAATATTTATTTTTATACAAATCATTTATTGTTTAATATGGTAAGATGGATATGTTACGAATGAAATTATTTTATCATGAGAGAATACAAGTGATTGGTTGCATAGGATAACTAAGAGGTGATCGTGCGCGTGTTTATGAGTTGTATTTTTAAGATTCATGGTGTTTTTTTATTTGTTTATTTTAAAAACTTTTGAATATTTAATAAATGTTATCATACACATTATATATAAAAATTTATTTTTGACAAGCATTAAATTTGAATTCAAAAG